TATATATATATATATATCCCAGTTGAGTCACCTATTTGTCACACTGCAATATTCCTTTTCTTTAATGTTTAAAATGTATTTATATATACGTAGTGTACCACAAGCATGAATATATATTATTACGGTTTAGAAATGTTTTATTTACTGTATATATTTCTTCCATTCATTCACATGTCAGAAAAAAAAAACCAGTTGGGCTCAATGTACTTCCACTGTACACTAAAACTTCAAAAGAATGTTGCCAGAGACTGAGAATTCATGAAGAACCTTCCTCAACTAGTATTTAAATTAATGTTGTTTGTAATACTATTATTCGTACTATTGCTAATATCATTAGTATTATTGTTATTAACAACTTTTATTTATCCATACCACACGGCAAAAAAAAAAATGCTATGCAATAACAGCTGTGAAATTGCTTTAATGCTGATTGAAATGGATACAATTGAAATGGATATAATTTTGGGAATTTATAGGCCGACACCACAGATCTGCCGTCAAACTCCACTTCATATTTGAATATCATTTTTTATCGAATGCTAAACTCAGATATACTATGATGACTGGCATTCGGTCATGGTTGTGTGGAAGTGACATCATGTGGGGACGTCCAAATTACAGATCTTAAGCATTCACTAACTTGACAAGTGCTAGGCTAGGCCATGGCTCTCTGAATTACTGTACAGACACCCACCAGTAATTAGGGGGTTTGTATTTTATTGCAGGCATTTTTACTACACTACGGATATTTGAGGCCTTTGGCAGATATTACACAGCATTATGACGATGATGAATTCGAAAATGCATTAAGTTTGATGCAGTCATTCGCCAACATCAACAACACGGGTCTGATAGATGGCAACACACTTGCGAAAATGCGCATGCCTAGATGTGGTAATCCTGACAGCGATGGCGCGGAGTCATTACGCAAAAAGAGATACAACTTGGCCGGCCCAAGGTGGAAAAAACGTTCATTAACTTACAGGTGGGATATACAACAGGTATCTTTTGCAATGTTTACATTTTAATGCATTGTATGGAGTCTATGAAACTTAATTGTTTCAATTTTTGTTTTATTAAACGTGTTTCTTATTCTGGTCTTCTTATAGGGAAATTCAATCTGATAAATTTTTTGAAGAGTTTCACAGACAGTATAGTTATCTTCAGTTCAATTTTGATTTTCTGTTCATTATCTTTTTGCTATAGAATTGCAAGATTCACAGAGGATTTCAGTCAAATCTTAGTTGAACAAGAGATCGAGCGGGCATTTAAAGTTTGGAGTGACGTCACACCGCTAACTTTCCGTAAAGTCCCTGCAGGAAACTGCGATATCGTTGTTCTATTTGCAAGGTAACGTAATCTCAGTTTCCATAGAATCGCCCACCCTATCGACGACAGTCGCCGACAGATGTCGGGAAGGTTTAATCTGGTTCAACTTTGCCGATTGCGTTGCAGAGGAATCGGGGTGCATTGCTAGCTGCCCTGACGCAATCGGGAAGGCAGTCGGCGACTATCCCGGATAGGGTGAGCGATTTTAATGAAACCGAGCTTTACTTTATTATGTTTTAAAATTATGATGCAATAAAGCATCTTGAAAGATGATTACGATGAGATTGATGATAATGATAATGATGATGATGGTGGTGAAGACGACGACGACGACGACGATGATGATGATGATGACGACGGTGACGGTTACGGCGATGATGAAGGTGACGATGATGATCGTGATAATAATAATGACAGTGAAGATGATGATGATGGTGATGATGATTATTATTAAGGAAGACGATTATGATGATGATTGATGATGATAATTGTCATAACAATGCAGTTGCTGCTTATGAAAAAAAAAGCACTCTTGAGCTAATGTCACGGCTCCATCGAAAATCGCTTGCAGTGGATTCTGGTGCTATGCAAGTTGTTACGATTGATTGATTGATTGATGATGAGACCCTGATGATGATGATGATGATGCAATGTTGAATTATTATTTATATCATTATTATATTATTATTGTCATTGTTTTGCTATTGTTATTGTTACTACTGATATTTTATGTTGAATTTAGGGAGGAACATGGAGATGGCCATTCATTTGATGGCCGTGGTGGTACCTTAGCGCATGCGTACTTTCCGGGACCAGGTATTGGCGGAGACGCTCATTTCGATGACGATGAACATTTCACAAGTAGAAGGTCTTCAGGTATAGTAAACCCACATCAACTTCTATACTGGACATATTATCCGAGAAACAAACTTATTGGACCTTTCCACTAATCCCGGCTCCTGCTTTTTAAAGTCTCACTAAACGGCAGCGTAGACGTACGTAACTTGCGTTCGTGGGACAACGTGTGTTGTAGGACGTGCTCGTGTTTCTGGTCGCGTTCTGATTGGTCAATTGACACTCAGCAAAGATCCGTTATGGCAGCAAGTGGCACAGCGGTAAAACTCATTCATAGGTTCCAATCTAAGGCTGATAACTTTGATGGCCGTTGTGGTACTTCAGAGCATGTAATTTCTGAGACATCTGTTTTTATCTCTTTATAAATTTTATAACACTATGAATAGTGTTATATTTATATAGCATAAATGCCGGAGCTTCAATGTGCTTAACATTAAATATAAAACAAAATTAAGAATTTACCCCTCACTGAAGTTTCCATGATTTGTACGTTGATTTTGACTGAATAAATGAACGAATGAACTTAATTGTGTACTCGGCCATTTTACTTCATACAGAAAATTTTAAATTCATTCATCCACGATGATATACAAATTATACCGATTTAGATTGTTCTGAGTAAAGCTGTAATTGCTGTTTGTACTCTTTTTATATGCTATACGATCACGATCACCAAGTTGGTAGCAATATGTACCCCATGCAGTAGTTTCTTTAAGGCTTACAGTGGCGGATCCAGGCATTTTAAATAGAGAGGGCCTAGGAGGGACCTTAAAAGATGGAGGGTCAGTACCACCTCATCCCCACCGAGGTTGGGGCTGAGGTAAAAAGAATTACGATTATTTCATCTCTAGATGGCCAGATATGGGACTCTCCGACTTAAAATTTAAATTTAATTTTCTTTTTTCTCAATTATTTTACAACTTTATTTTACAACTAACTTCAATTATTTTACAACTAAAAATTTAGTGGGTGGGAGGCAGAGCCGGCTGCCCCCTTGAATCTGCCTCTGGCTTAGACTCGTATTATTTCTAAATAAATGGAACGGTTGATTGATTGATTGATTTATTGATTGATTGGTTAGTTAGTTATTTGGTTGATTGATTGATTAATTGATTCATATCTGCTGTGCCGATAACTTGTTTTACCAAATTTTTCCAAACTAATAATTTTTTAGATTACCTAGTTTCATTATTTTGATTAAAACTGCTTAATTTTTCAGTGTGTTTTTATTTATATTCTACCATTTCTCTCAACTGTATTTATCTTGATCAGGAACAAATCTGTTTTTGGTTGCTGCGCATGAGTTTGGACACAGTTTAGGACTCGGTCATTCTGATCAAAGAGGTGCTCTGATGGCACCGTACTACCAGGGATATAAACAAAATTTCATACTACCTAGAGACGACATAAGAGGAATACAAGAACTTTATGGTAATATTTTGTCAAAATGTTCCTGTCAAATTTAAAAAGATTGATTAGGTAATAAACTAGACCAAACATTACAATCATCACCATCATTTTTTTTTTCATCGTCGTTGTCATTCTCATAATTGTCATCAACACTTATTATCATTGTCATCACACCATAATCTACATTATAATGATCACCATCATCATTATTATTATTATTTTATATTAAGAGTAACACTATTATTAGTTGTTTTTGTTGTTTCTGTTGTCGTTGACACTTTATTATATTATGTTATTATTTAAACAGGAGTGAAGAAAACTCCATCCCGTCCAAATGAACCAAAACCTCCAATCCAGCCCCCACGGAAACCAGGAAGTCCACCAGCTGCGCCCCCGAATGCTTGCATGCAGAGGTTCCAAGGGGGATCGATTATCCGAGGCGAGATATTCCTATTCCAAGTAAGTTCTTTCAAATTAGTCCAATAACGACCAGGATGCGACGTTATGCGTACATCGTGTGTACCACATCTTTTTAATTGTGCCTTTCAATAGTGGAATTTTACAGAGTATTAAAGCGCCTCTGAATAGGGAACTGGATTATGGCGCTTTACAGGTATTGGATTGGACTGGATATTGTCTTAAAATAACTTGGCAAGTTCTGTGCCAAATAATATTCACACATTGTGCTGTTTCATTTCATTTCATTTCATTTCATTATTTATTTGGTCATTTACAACAACAACAACAAAAAAAAATTAATTAATAGATTCTAAAACAGTCATATTAATAATATACGCAAGATTAAAATTGAGTTCAATAAATTGATATATTAAGATCGCGTGCGAATTCAATTATGAAAACGTAGATTATTATCGTTATATATGTATTTAAATAGTTAGAATAAACAATCAACAATGGCAATCATCTGAGATCTATGAGTCTGGTTGGTAATGGGCTTAGGTTATTATTACTTAAGTTGGCAGCGCAGGCAGTGACGTATCTAGGGGTGCGAGGAGGGGCGCATGCGCCCCCGCCCGCCCCAAACAATAAAAAAAATCGCCTCCAGTCTCCCTTATTGAAAAAGTTCGAAGCAAAGAGAACATGCTCAAGTAGATAAAATCACCTTATTTTGCGAGGTATCGTCCCTCGCTTATCATTAGTGATTTTCACATTTGCGCACCCCCACCCCACCAGCCTCCCATTTCAAGACTCATAGATACGCCACTGAGTCTAGGTCTGTCTCTGTCTTGCTGTTCAAATTGTAAAAAAGCTTTAAAATGTGTATGTACGTTAACATTCTACTTGATAATATGTTTAAAGAATGAAATTTACTGGCGCTTGAAGAGTCCAGGTGTAGTGGTGCCGAACCACCCAATGAATGCCGAGAACTTGTGGTACGGTTTCCAATCTGATATCGATGCCGTCTACGAAAGAAAAGATGGAACAATCATATTTACTAAAGGTATGTTTGATGGATCATGAGTATGGTAAAATTATTGAAAATCGAAACGGTACTGGGTTTGTCTACAGGGGTTCGTGCTTCGTACAGACCATTGCATTCATAGAAGAAACCTTAAATGAAGAAAGCGTCATTAGCACAGTAGCCTAGGTCAAAGCATAAACCCCGGCTATAAAAAAAAAAAATTATATAAGAAAATATTGTTAAGATTAATAGACCTATTGTTTTTTGTTGGCTCGATTTCACTGCATTAAATCTCAAAAAAATTACTTCAGTAATGTAAAGGTATAAAATTAGTGACAATTTAATTGTGATCTGAACAAATATTGACTTTAAAATACGCATTATTGGTAAATTGTTCTTTTGTTTAAAAAGAAATATACCCTTTAATAACATTATTTACCTTTTTGTTGCAGGTTCGGATTACTGGGAGTACAACGGTGTTGTACCTAAGCCCGGGTTCCCAAAATCTTTGGCCGATATTGGTCTGCCTCAAGATATTGATGCCGCCTTCGTGTTTCCCAACAACGGAAAGACATATGTGTTCAGGGGTTCGCGCTACTGGAGATACGACGAAAGGCAACGAGAAGTGGATAGTGGATATCCTAAAAATATTAGAGAAAACTGGAAAGGAATTCCGTCAAACGTTGATGCAGCTTTTCCATACAATGGTAACGATACAAAATATAATATTTTCCTGCCGGCAAAAGTATTACAGTAATAGTAGTATATATGCCTATCAAACATAGACCTGACATTCTTAGAATTCTTTTAAAATCTGCTGTCTGTCAAATTAACCCGACAATTTAGAATCTAAATTTTATAATGTATAACCTGTTTTTGACGTGTCCTGTCTGATTGAACATATTGTGTTGCACAGTGTTTCTCTTCACCCTACAATATCTGATCAAACATTTCTTAAGCTCTGTCCTGATTATCAAATTTTCTGTTAGATGCCTATATACAGTCATAGTGTACCTATATATATGGTCATGATGTGATATCATCATGACCATATTTAGGCATGTCATATGTTTTTGTCAAATAAATTCTGATAGGGCTTTATTGAGCATGCCAGATAAATGAGATAGTATATACCCTACTTAAAATAGACCTTGCTTCTAAGCTCCACCCCTTGAATATTGTTGCTAAGGTAACTCAAAACGAGAGTGTGAGTGATGTATGTTTGTGAGACGTGCGCTATTTTTGGCACTGTTCTGATTGGTGGTTGTTAAGTTTGACATTCTGAAAAAAAAAAAAAATGTATATAGGTCTACTCTGTTTATGCGACTCCCAATACAACTAATGGATGCCTTTATAGCTTCTATCATCTTAAATGCATTTTCATATATTAGTAAAAGAAACTTGTTTCTCTTTTCCAGGTTTCACTTACTTCGTTAGAGGTCAGGAATATTGGAAATTTAACAACGTTAATCTGCAAGTCGAACGTGGATATCCTAAGAATTTCCCGCATGATTTTCTGGACTGTAAAACAGCGAGGCGGTTTATCGAAAGAGACCCTGCGTTTCAAAACTCAGCTTTGCCAATAACTGCCGCTAGTTTCGGTCTTTTGTCGATCGTTTCACTCGCCACTCTTTATCTATTCTAGGCAACCATTCCCCTTAAATTGCAATAACTTGTCTGATTAAATTTCTTTTGTACACTATAGAATGTACATATTGATTTGTATTTTTATTGTTTTCAATTTTTGTTTTCGTATTATTTTATATATCATTTGCTAAATATATCGAGCTAGAGGCCGACAATAGAAACAAATGTATTTAATTAAAGTTTCGGATGCCGGCTTACATCCGCAATAGGCTTTTAATCATTATCTCATCGCCAATTGAATATCGCATATGACTTAATTATTCTCATTACTTTCAGGCAAGGAAAGATGTACATTTTTATACTATAAACTAGGCCTATATAACACTAAACAGAACCAATTTGGATTTGGCCCACTTTGTTTTCCACTGCTGGCGGAAAAGTCTAGGTGTAACATTTATTTGGAACAATGTGTGTTCAAGTTGAAAAGATATTACCAAATACATGTTTTACTTTAGTATAGGCCTATTGCAATATATATCAATAAGGCAATTATACTGTAATAGCGAGATATTATATTCAATCACGATTTGAAGAGTAGATCGTGTATTCTGCTGTAGGTGGCGGCAGATATAAAATATTGACACTGATTTATTTTTTCACATGATTTATCTATAGAGGTATTATAACACATTCGTAAAATAAATCCATGGGTGTCTAGCCATGCAAGAAATAAGTTAGTTTGTAAATTAATGTATTTCCTTCAAGATCTAACACCATTATCCTGACACGATAACTCGATGTGTTAATAACGAGTTTAATTGGCGATGCGTTTAATCGATTAAATTTTAAAACGCTATATTCAAAATGTTGTAAATAGTTTGTGATTATGAGATTGTGTATAATGTTGTTTTCCATTTACAACCACTCTGAAATTTCTTTATTTTTCTAGGAACATATTAACTGCTGCATGTAATTACATACTACAAACATAATACAAATCGCCATGAGTAAACGGATTCAACATCGATTTGAAAATACTGTATTGTATTCTCGTTATAGGTGAATAAAAGGTGAAATGTTTATAAACTTTGGATTTTTTTTCTTCTTTTGAAGAATTAGGAACGGGATATGTCAAATGTTATTATTACCGGCTTTAATTCATATTTTGGGTTCGATTAAATGTTGTTGAGTTTGTAGCTTAGTGGTTAAGATGATTGCTTTCCAATCTCATTATCATGGGTTCAATTTCTGTCACTGTAACATGTTTTTTTTTTTATCACAACCAGAAACAACTCATAATGAGACTTAGTTTATGTAGAGCAGTGTTTATGTTTGTCTTGTGACAGGAATGTAAAAAAAAAGGTGGGGTGGGGTGACCAGGGTTAAATTCTTGCGACACTAGAAATTTTCTCACGACAAAAAAAAACAAAAAAAAACTCGTCTTCTAAGCCTCATAGAAAGACTATCTAGGATGCAATTGGTGAGTTGCATTCTGTTCTGGTTGTGGTTGGATGGGAATTACTTTTTAAAAATCATTCGACCTAAACTGTTTAGAATCAAATAGAAATAATAATAATAATAACAAAAACACTACTTCTAATGGAAGGGGTATTAAAGAGACATGTACATGGATACCACACGAAGTTCATTATAAAAAGAAAATTGAAATCATATTTATGTATTTTGAAATTGCTTTCGTATTTAGCGCCCTCTATATCGTCACCACTTGCAAATTAATGAGTATACTAGCTGAGCTAGTTTCTGCTGAACCAATCTTAAAGGTAAGGTGATTATTGTTCAAAAAGATTAAGCTATGTATTTAAACTATATGAATGTACTTAATTATTGCAGCCCAATCATCAACTAATGAAACAAACATGGTATAGCACCAGAATTTGTTATAAACTCCAACAAAAAAAAACACAATCTACGATTTATTGCACAAAACAATAGTATACGTACCTAACTAAATTTATTAACTAACTTATGCATAGACTAGCAGTAGTTTTCTTTACTAATCGCTGTATTGTGATGTTTCTCTCTTTGTGTGTGTATGTGTGGGGTGGGGGTGTGCATCCTTGTACCGTTTTGGTTTTACATAAGATAATATGCTTTTCCAAATGTTTTTTGTACATACTTCTGGTGTTTTTGATGATTAAATATTTATATATGTTTTTTTCAAAGGAATTTTCTTATTTAAATTGTACCTCCTATTGTTTTACTACCTGTACAACTGTAATTAAATTATAGTTTTGCTTAAAAAACAAAAAGTTTGTTTGAATTGAACATAGGGCTAGATGCTTTACGACCATGTAAACCTACGACCTGTTCTGTAAAGCAAGTCAACTAATAGTTTAATTGTACCTTACGAACTTTCAGAATATAGGTCTTTTTGTTGTATAGTGCCCTCTGTTGATTTATCAGTGGTTTGTCCTAACCCAGGGGAGGGCGTATGCCTGCCCTTTCTGTCACAATTAGGTTATTAAAAAAAATTTAAACTGAAATTAGGAAGTGTGTCTTTCTTTTTGTGTCATTCAAATGGCCTCTGAGAGAGTAAAATGTGTCAAATAAAACAATGAAATGAACAAATGCTACGGATAGTAACAAACGCGTGGGCACCTCGTTTAACAAAACGCACACCTATGTGATTTGATACATAAAAAAATGATGTAATGATGTCATTATACCTAAATTCACATCGCGAACATGTGGAAAGTTGATAAAGTCATGTTTTACACAATGTATGTAGAAAAGAGCACATCCCGACCTACATAGAGTGAGAGTTAGAATTTAGTGTAAAAGGGAATTATTTCCAAATCTCATTTTAAAATAGAAAACTACAGTATATCCTTCTTAGCCTTAGCATGGATGAATTGAACATTATGCATTGAATAATTTTGAAAGTAATAGGCTGGAATAATGGAAGTTCGCACCGGCGAATCATAACCATAGACCAAAAGATACTTCATTTCCGGCGAAGGTCTAATTCAGGATAAATCGTTCCTTTGGGAATCTAGTGGTGTTCCTTTGGGAGGACGCGGCTTACGATGATTTCAACCGCTCCATTAAACTTTCATAAACATAAATCGTCGCATCTAGATTTTGAAACGCCACACTAAATTTTTTTAAAGAACATTGTTTCTGTGAATCCAATGGATGGCAAAAGGTCGGGTGGCAAAATGCTCCATGGTAAAAGCCTGGTGACAAAAGGCCGGGTGGCAAAATGCTCCATGGTAAAAGCCTGGTGACAAAAGGCCGGGTGACAAAATTCTGAGTGGTAATGGATCTGGTGGCTGTCTTAGACCCTAGATTTAGTCAATATACTTTTTGAACTCTCTCGACAAGACTAATAATTATACGATACGATATTCTTTATTGTCATTTGAACAACAGGGTACAAATGAAATTGATCAAGATACAATTTCAGAGAGGAATAAAGAAAAAAGTAAACTAACAAAGAACTCCAAAGAGACATATTCAAATAACTTAAATCTAATGAATCATATTGAAGTTATTGAATCTTAATGAATCTTATTGAATCTTATTGGTGGGTGTGGAGTCAGGATCAGGAAAGACATCACCATGACCCTCCGGCTACAGGAATAGGGGACAGCGCTGCCCTGAATCTGCAAAAACAGCCAGAAACTAGAAAATAGCCTGGTAGTCACAGAGACAGAAAATAGCTAACTATAATTATTGCAATATTCGACTGTTTATGTGGCAAATTTGTTTGCTCATAATAATAATTATTATGGTGTGATATGACGTCATCATGCCCATAAATCAGAAAGATTATGTAGTGTGAACAGAGAATGCGTAGTGGTGTTAAATTACCAGAATATCAAACATTAAGTTAAATAAATTAAGTAGCGGCTTCCAGGTCAATAGCGAAATATAAAACGTGTACCTGCGAGGTGTGGTACATCTAATACGTCGGAACTGGTAACTACACTCACCTAGACTGTGGTGTAGCCCATTAAAATCAACAGAAGGAAAACAACTAATAATTACTATACGTTAGTTGCTTATTGGGTAAAAACAATTTGGAAGGACACAAAGAAATGGTCAATGAGGCAAAACGTATACTAACATTCGCTTTTACCAAAATATAGGCAAGTACAGTACAGTACAGTAATTCTTTCTTTTCACACACTTTTCTCTTGTCGATCTCCTTTATGACTATGATCATTGTCACTACGAGGCTATGCATGGCATCAAAGTTCATGGTAAGGACTGAAGTTGCAAGGCACATGAAAGATCTTTATTTTAAAATGAGGTAAATTAAATTACAAATTTGGCAGCCATGTGGATTGGAATTTTCATTGACGATATTGATGAAATTGAAACCCGACAATAAAATGGGTGTCTGAAGTGCAAACTACATTAACTCCTTCACACTCCATATCCCCTAGTTCCATGTAATATAAATGAAATACTTCCTGACAAAAACTAAGTGAAAGTGAAATACAGGTGGAAATGAGTAGGCCTAGCCATTGATTCAGGTGGTGCCTGGCTGTTTGTAAACCTACAAACCAACCACCCCCTCACCTCCCTCCCACCATCTGTAAGTGAACAGAACAAAGCGCCTGCAAATTAGAAAAGTCCTTCCATAAGTTGTAGGACTTTCAGGTCTAAAGACTATAATTTTCCTTTTCTGTATCTTTTTGGCTTAAAGTTGTGCATTTCTTCTTCTTCTTCTTCTTCTTCTTCTTCTTCTTCTTCTTTTCATATAAAAGTTATTTAGGCCTATTTTTCCCCTCTGGTTTAAACAAAAATCCATAACAACAAATATACGTCTTAAGAAACCATGGAATTCTCCATGTGACTTATCGTCATGTAAGTTCACTGGTGAAGTAAAGTTTGTGGTATGATTAAGGTTTTTAGTACAAAGAAATTTCCAATTCGTCTCTCGGTTTCTATATTTTAAAACTACAGTAAACGCTGCTTCCCACATTATTACATTATAACCGTTGATGTTTTATTAATAATAATAAAAATAATAGTGTAGCTTTATATAGCGCACATATCCATATAAGATGCTCAGTGCGCCTGATATTTGGACTAGGAACTCGATCAATGCTTATTAATTTAATTCATGCAAACTTTATACAAACTAAAATTATATTTGGACAAATACACATCTAGGCCTGCTTTTCAATGTCCAAGTGATTCAAAGTTAAAATGTGATCATGAAGTATTGAGTCATTCAGATTGAAGAGATTTTAATAGATGACTAGTATTTTATCGCTTTTCTTTCTTGTAGGTTAGCACCGGCGCTCTCTCCTCTCCACGAAACCGTTTTTGGGCTTCTGAGTTACATTCTACCACTAAACAGACGGTGATTTTCAATTGAATGTTGCCCAAATTGTCGGACATTGGATAATGAATGTTGCAATTGGTAAACGAAACTATAATGCGATGTGGTATCATTAATTCGTCCTGAGGTGCTTTAAAACATGTCCGGACGGAACGCAATTACTGTACTTTGAAGTACTTAACTTAAAACTAGGCACCACTGACCGATTATTGTTGGGTTCAGTGACCTGCGTCATTATTTTGCCATCGATTAATGACAATTTTCAACTTTGTAGATGTTACATCATTAAAATTGTACTTTCGCTGTTACAGGTTGCGGTTTCGTGGTTGTGAGGTAGGTAATGATGTAATAATCGCCGTAGTGATGAAAACATAATGAGCCTACACTTTGAAAACTATGAATTAATTTACTGACCAAGATCGAACAACCAAAAATTTCCGCCAATGCACATGTGAACTATGCTAAACTAACGACACCGCAATATTCCAAGTATGACACAATTGAACAGGATAATTGTAAAAAGAAACCACAGGTAACACAAAAAATGATGTCATTTTTAATTATTATCATGATTGCGATTGTTAGTTTGTAATTGATCATTGTGAAGATGCTTTAATAAATAGTACCCTTGTCCTTTCGGCCATTGTTTTATATAATAGCTAAATACAGGAAAACCTTCCTTCCGATTAGCATCCCGAGGGTTTAAGAACAATCATTAGAGACGGAGCCAGCGACGTGCAAGTGAATCATCAAGCAATATTGGCACTGACATGATGCTCCAGGACCAATAAAATGACTCACTCACTCAGCAGCCTTTATTACTTATAAACATTTTATTCTTATGTTTTAGAGTGACAATCATGTGTTTCCATATGTATGCGCCCGCAACCATACCGTTTAAACATGCTATAAGCTCTCCGTCCTGCTATTGGTTGTTCAGATAGCGCGTGGCATCGTATAGACGCGCGCATTGACCTATATGATTACGAGTTAAAATGTAATACCGATTTTAATGTACAATTTGTTGTGCCAGCTAATATCAGAAACATGTCCTGAGGTTAGGTTAAATTACAAAGTAGTTAATTGGTTTTATTGTGAATGATTCACATTGTCGAGAAAAGCAGCGAGATGCGGAGGAAAAACAGACGTGATAATAAATCACTCAAATTATGCTTTGAAAATCAAGCTGATAGATTATTTAAAACCACATTACTTTAAAAATTACATCATCAGCGATGCGCTGAAAACAAGATCCGTATTTTGTACATTTGTTAATTGACATGGATTTCGTTGTTTAATATTAGTAGGACAAATATCAATATGAATTTAATTAATGTTCTTTTTGTCTTCGTGACTTAAATCTAGCCATGCATAAAGGGTGAGAGGTGGTCTATCAATTTCTCACGTGAATATAAGCCTACGGAACTTTTAGTTGAATGACCTACACCATCAATTCGTACAAATATTTTATTAACAAGCTACCAATTAACACAATGATGGGAAAACAAAAGATTATTAAATTCTTTCGTCACGATATAACTGACAGGAATAATCGTGTGGTGTGCTTCCAATTGTAGTTCATCCTTCGGTTATTTCAACAGCCA